TTTGAAATAAAGAACAGAGTTGTCATCAATACCATTGGTCATATCACAAGTAATAAAAAATTCAAATAGATTGTTAGCAAATAAAGACTCATACAATTTTTAGTAAATAAAGACCAACTAAGGCACCTGAATTTGGCACAATTAAAATTGTTCGTGATGAAACAGTGTTACAATATCTTACAGTGGTTCAATAAATAGGTTAACTTGGAAGAGATTATTGAAAATAATTTAAACATGCTACATTTTAAATTATAACCACTGTGCAAGAATGATATAGAAATTAGTTTCTTAAATCACCATCCCACATACTATAAGAATATCTAGAGAGTAAACTCACATGGATGAGTGCTCAAAATCACTTGGACCAATTTTTTAAAGCAGCTTTAAAATAATTGACTCCCAAATCAAGATATTAAATGCCAACTTCTAACCGGCTATAATGCTTATGGCTAAGATAGAAATGAGATTCTTCACAGAAATGCTGACACAGCCCTAACTGTAGGCATTTGAGCGTGTGGCTATAATTCTTTTTTCAAATCTTACCCAGCAAAGCTTCAGGTAAAAGAGACCGCAGAATATGTAAACAGTAGGAGACAGTCCTGGAGCTTTTACAAAATCACAAACCTGTGACACACTTACATTCATCTCTGATTGCTACTACTAAATAATGAGATCATTCACAATGTATTGATTAGCTCTTTAATAGATAAAAGGTGGGCAGTGTGTTGTAAAAATCAACATTTCTTAATTCATTCGATTTGCAAGAGCTACACATTTTAAGCTGAGAATGGAAAACCTCTAAAAGTTTTTCAAAAAAGCCTTCTGCCTTATTTAGCATTTTGACCACTAATCAGAAACAATAAAAAAAAGAAAATTAAGAAAAAAACTATGGAACAAAAAGTAACAAGGCTTTTCTTTTCCATTCGGAAATCTACTGAGCTATAAAATAAGTTCCCAAGAGGAGTCAGTTTCCTATGTGGAAGGCATTTAAAACTGAACTACACAACCTAATCTTAAAATAGGCCAAGGGAACACAATTTATACTGGGAGATGAGTGGCTGGAATAGAGGACTTAATTGTCTAATCCTAGTTCTCATTTTTAAAAATGTCTAAGATAATGATGCTTTTAATGAGGAGTCAATTTCAAAGCCCAGCCAACTCTAAGTCATAACCATGATATGGTGGTATTTTCTTCTCCTCTGCATTGTCATCTAGGCAACAGACGACTATTGATCCTACACTGGGAAATACTGTTTTGATGTTAATTGATCAAAACTGTATGAGGGAAATTGTGATTTCTGAATGGAAGACAGTCATGAGTTATCACTTCTTGAAATTACAGAACTGGGAATAAATATATGTTATGACTATGACACTAAATAAATATTAAAATCAATAATTTGTTAAGATAAACAAAAATATCCTCAATAAGTTCATGTGGGATGATACTATATAATGAGGATGAACTTAAAATTGTTAACACTTTGCATCACAAGTATTCTGATTTTATAGGATTCTAAAAATTTGCTAACTTGCATCGCTTTTTTTTTTTTTAACATCTTTATTGGGGTATAATTGCTTTACTTGCATCGCTTTTTTAATTTATATTTTACTTGATAAACTCATCATTATATCACAGAAAAAGAAGTTGAAATGTATAACAAACTAATTTTTAAAATCACCACTAAATTTTATCTTAAACTCAAGCTTATCATCCATTTAAATTCAAATTTAATCTTTTTACAATCTGCATTTTACTTAGAGGCAAAAATCACACTTATTATGAGTTACAAATAATCATGCAAATCTGTAAGAAGCTGTCAACTGGCGAAGTCTTTACCTTGTATCATGTCACAAAATAACACTCATTATAATATTAACTTCAAATGCTAATTTTCTCTTCATTAGATGGCAGACAAGAGATAATGTGCTATTAATATTTTTATAAAGATATGTTGCTGAATAAGAATTTCAAAGAAAATAATACATTCAGGATTGATACTTAGTTCTGCAAATGCCTAGTAATCTTATTAATTAGGTATAGCAACCTGTCTGTTAAAATACTAGACACAGGCCAGGAGAATTGGGTAAGGACAAATCACAGACACACATACTTCATAGTTTACCTGCAATATTTATCAATTCAGCTTATTGTTTTCTTAAAACTTATAAATATCCCGCAAATAAGTAAAAATCTTCTAGTTATTCTATCAGTATTATATGATAGTGACTTATTTGGGCCCAACTCCGTCTGACTGCTTTCATATGAATCAGGCAATTTTCTTAAAATTAAAATTTCAATATCCCCAAATGAATCCACTGCTCATTTAAAAATATTTAGCATTTTAGGATGGCAGTGGGAATGGAAAAGTGAAATCCAGTTCCAACAATAACCCAACCTCGTCTCCACTCCCTCCCCCCAATGGCAGATGTACTATGTACACATGGTTCCTAGAAAATGAAAAAATTAGTTTTCAAACATTTTATCCACTTGCTATTGGGATTTAGCAAAGAAGTTCAATATTAGCTGAAAAGGTAGACTAAAACTATAAGCCACCCAAAGGGCCAAATTATAACTTTTTTTTTTTTGGATACCTGCTGGGTTGGGGCGAATGGTGGGATTGGGGGGGTGTTTTCATTTAGATCTACCCTGCTCAGCCACTCTGTTTTCCTTTCACATCCTAACCCCCTTGTGTTATAAGGCTGGAAACAGCTCTAAGATTGTGGAGAATGTAAACAGCTTTTTATTGTCCAAAAGGATGGCAGTGTGAGGAATGTATGCTTATCACCCAGCTGCAGCTCCCCACCTCACTTACCATGATAAAGTGCTCCAGGAAAAAAACATTACAACCCAAGCACAATCCAAAAATGGATTAGAATTTGACATACACTTCCTCAAAAACTGATAAATCAAGCCACGCTGTAATATTAGAATCTAGCTCTTAAGGAGGGTATATAATCTTGTCAAGATGTATTTCTTATTCCCTATTGACTCTGGTGGTGTGAAAAAAAAAAAATCTAACATTCCCAATACAGTAAACTGATAGAAGAACTTTTCCCAACACATCCGCCAATATAGCTCCTTATCTTTAAGAGTCTAATACAGTGGAACAGATACACAGTTCATGATCACTGAATGCAAAATTAAATGAATGAACTAAGAGATTCATGAAGATATTCTGAAGATCCTACCTAAGTACCTGAGTTCCCCAGGTTTTTAGTTTTACTTACACACACCATACAAATGTTGCTTTGTTAAATCACCTTTTATTGGAATCCAGATCAAACATTTCTAAAAGCAAGGGATACTGAAGAGTATTTAGCATATATGTGGCATGCTTAATGCCTTAGATGTAAAATTTATTTTAACATGCCATATTATATATAGGCAGTATGTGCCGGCTCATTTAAGGGCATTTGGGAACATCACTGCATTTTCTTCTTGAAGCCATTGAAGAATTTCTTAACGCTGTGAAGGTGAAGCTAATCTTTGTGGAAAAGGAATGGACAGGCCCTTTCGGGCTCTCTCCCCTTCACTAAGACATTTTAGAATTCCTTCCATCCTCAAACTTACAGAGTATCTTTGCGTCTACAATATCATATGTATCATAGAGAAACTTTAATAAGTTACATGATCTTTCCCTCTAAAGGGAAATGAGAGAGAGAGAGAGAGAGAGAGAGAGAGAGAGAGAGAAGGAAGGGAGGGATGAAGGAAGGAAAAAAGGATGGATCATCATGCTTGGGTTCCTTAACCCTGTTTTAACAGCCAGATTAAACTGGGTAAAGTCTTAAATATGAAGACCAAAGAAACCTTGGCTTCTGGAGAGAGCCCTCTTGATAGCACCGTATTAAGACAAGTGCCAAGAGAGCAGGAGAAATCCATCACAGACGCGGACTGCGCCAAAGCAATCCCCTTCTATAACTGTACTTTAAAAGTTGTCTTCTTGAAGGTCTTACTTGGGAGCTCCCTTAAACAGAATTAACTAGCAATCTATAGAGCATACAGGTATATTTCGGAAGGAGGAGAGGGTGGCGCCACGCGGGAAAAGCGAGGAGAGATGAGAGGCACCACTGGAACAGTCGCCTAGAGCCTCCCTGGCGGACCCTGCAACCACCTTCTAATACCCTTCATATTCCTCAGCGCCCCCTGAGCCGCCCAGACCAGACAGGAGAGGTCTTAGGGAACAAAATGCTTAGAGACGACGGGGAGGGGGCTCCTGTGTGGAGCTGAATTTGAAAGTTACATCCTGCGTCCCCGCCGGCACAAAACCCCATCCTAGTCCCCAGTGCCAGATAGAAAACGAAGAGAAATCCAATCTGCCTCCCAAATCGGTCTTTTGCCTAAGTTTTTCCCCAGCAAGGAGCCACCAACCGGCCCTGAGAGCGAGGATGCACGATGCCGTGCTTCAGAAGTGTTTGCGGAGGGAGGGAGACGCAAGAGGGAAGAGATATGGGAACATATGTATATGTATAACTGATTCACTTTGTTATAAAGCAGAAACTAACACACCATTGTAAAGCAATTATACCCCAATAAAGATGTTAAAAAAGAAGTGTTTGCGGGCATCCGGGCAAAGTACCACGTGAAAAATAACCACCAAGCCCCCCAAACTCTGGGCTAGAGGCAGGTCTTTCAGCCCATCCTCATCGCGTCTGTCTACCCTTACCCCCTCCTCGACCGCTCCTCAATAAACCTCTTCCTTCTCTTGCACCTTCTTCCCTGCTACTTTCTGCCTTCTTTACCCCAGCCCTCCAGTCCCAATCCTCCATAAGCACCGCACTCGCCTCAGGGTCCCCACTCTGATCCCCATTTCCTGATTCTTTCCCTTCAACCTCTAAGGCAACCCTAAACTCCCTCCACTGCCTGCGCTCCCGACCCCATGTCCCAAGCAGCCCCAGACTCTGCTTCCGAGTCGGCAGCCGGAGCGGTTTTCCCGCCGAAACGCGGCCCAGGCGCGTGGGGCGTGGGGCTTGGGGCGCGCGGCGGGCCGGGCACTCACCAGCTGCAGCAAGCCGGGGACCACGACGAGGGGCAGCGGCCGCAGGCGCATGGTGCCGGCTGGCGCGGCGTCTCACGAGCTGCGCGCCCTCGCCTACCTCTCGCGCATCTCCACTTCGCGGGGCAGGACTGAGGACGCCAGGGACTCCGCGCGGCGCTTCCCTCCCGGAATCCGAGCGCAGCGCCGCGCCACGCCGCGCGGGTCGGGTGGGCGGGCTGGAAAGGGGGTGGGGGAGGGCGGGCGGGAGATGCTTCTGGGGCCCCGCGCGCCCTTCCTTGGAGGGGGCCGGAAAAGGAGCGTGGGGGGCAGCTCGAGCTCCGGCGTGCTGCGCGGGGTCCCAGCAGCGCCCGGGGCTCCCGCGTCCCGGGGTCGGGGTGAGCGCGGCGGGCGCCCGCGGGCGGGAGGCTGCAGCTCTGGCGCTTTGATGCGGGGCTCCCGCGCGAGGCTGCTCCCGGAAGAGCTGAGCGCGCCCGGGAGCCCTGCGAGGTTCGGGGCCTTCTCCGCCCCCGCCCAGCAGAGGGCCTGTTGGGCCGGGCGCCCTGCCCACTGACAAGCTCTTGTTTTGCCGGGGAGGTGGCAGCGGGGATGGGGGGAGCGGGTGGTCTCCCTGAGTGGATGCAGGAAGGAGCGCGCCGGGAGAGCACCCAGGGAGTTCTAGGGGAAGGCGACGGCAGGGTCCTGAGGCGGGGCGTGGGGCGGGGGTGGTGATGGTGTGGAGGGGTGCTGGAGCCCGGGACGCCCCGGGAGAGCGCCCTGCTCCGCAGCAGCCCTGGCTCTCAGAGCCCGGCGCAGGGGGTCCAAAGTGAGGCTGGTGCGGCTGGAAGGATGTCTGGAAGTGGAAAGTAGTGGGCACCTAGAGGGACATTGAGGAGGGGTAGCGGCAGGGCTCTGAGAAACCGAGCTAGGTGTAGGGGTCCAGGCTTACTCGGGTTTGAGGATGCTGTCGGCTGCTCGGTGTCCAGGAGGAGGACAGAGCTGCGCCCGGGCGCCTGGGGAGAAGAATAAGGAGAGGAGACCCTGCCGCAGCCTCCCTCCCAGTTGGGAAATCTTGGAGAGGGATATTTCTGAGGCCGCGGCTGCGCGAGGCCAGAAACCTGCTGCCCGCGATCGCTCAACCCATGTTAACAACTCTCCATTGGAGAGATCCTTAACCTTTAACTATCTCTGTGCTGGACCCTCGAGTGGAAAAGTCAAGGGACAGTGGGGCTCAGGTACTCCCACGTTTACGGCGGGTGAGAATTTAGACATCATCCATCCGCCTCTTTATTGAACAGATGGGAAATCTAAGGTCCAGAGAGGTAAAATCAGTTCTCCAGGGATGAGTCTCTAGGCAGCTACTTCAAAAGAACACTCAAGGCAAGGCTAGTTCCTGCATCCTCTTGCAAATGAAAAACACGTTGAGGCAAGAGAGTGGAATTGAGATAGATTTTTATTAAAAAAAAATAAAACAACAAAAATTGAAATTGGGTTGGAATTTTAGGGGAAAAACGTTTCCATCTCCTGCTCTTACTGCTCTTCTACCCCCAAATAAAATGAAAGGGGAGTTGGTAAGTCTTTGAATGGTGCAGGACCAAGGGCAGGAGGACTGACCTGGGTAGGGCAAGGTCCCACCCTTCCTTTCACTGGGTGTGTCAATTTTGTGCAGATGGGGAGGGAGGTCATTCCGGAGTGTTCTGGGGTCCCAATGTGACTTTGAAAGTTGTCCCTGAGGCTGCAGGTGGGGTACCTCTCTAATACAACTCCATTCCCTGTATGGAGGAAGAGAGGCAAGCGAGGGTTGTATATCCTTCCTAACGCCTCACGTAGCCTGACTGGGGGATTCTGGGGCCCATGGCAAAGGCTGCAGCAGCGAGAACCCACTTTGTCCTCAGACTCTTCCTTTTCCTTGCAACAGACTCAAAAACAAAACAAAATCATTATTTGCATATCTAAATATATAACTCACCTCCCTATAGCTACCCTTCACCTCCACAAAAATTCTCTTTACCTAGGCTTAGAGCTCACTTCTAAAAAGTTATTCTATCCTAGAAGCATAAGTAAGATAATTTCAAAAATTGGGAGCGATCTCTGTAGATTGATCTTCTTGTCCAACTTTGTCTCTGCATTTTATTTACAGACAATCTTTGGGGAGTGATTAATAGGGAACGAGTTTGGCAGACATTAGAAGGACCCCTTTTCGGAGAGCGGCTGCTGGAAGAGGAAGAAGGCAAACAGCATTGCAAGAGGCAGTACCTCATATAGACTCAGTGTTTCTGCTGGAGCCCCAGCTGACTCGTCTCTAAAACCAGAAGGTGAGGTCCCTTCTTGATTTAGTAGTTTCCGATTCTGTTATTGTTAGCCCTTTAAATGAGGAGCGCATGACTTAACACACTATTGAAATGAATAAGTGATTTAATGACTGGAATATTTCACTCTTTTCTTTAAATTTGTTCCTGTTTCTTAGACCATTTCTACCCTTTTGGGAAATTTATGCATAAAATTTTAGAACCTAAACTTGGACATGTGTCCTAATAATACTAAGTATTCTCACAATGGAACTTGCTGCAGGGTGTTGGATTCCAAGCTAAGAGCTAACGGACACAAGAGAACGTGTGTCCTGTTGATCAGGCTGTGGCAGAGAGAAGCACCAAGGACCCCCTTGACTAAAGTCTGGTATTTCTGTGTTTATTTATAAGGTGACTGCTGCTAATTTAGTGTATTCCCCAAATTTTACTGTAAGTACTATGGGAAAGTGGAAGGAAGGAAGAAAGGAAGGAGGGAAGGAGGGAGGGAGGGAGAAAAGGGGGAAAGATAGAAGCATTAAATACATGGACTGTCATTCCGAACATGCAGTCTAACCAGGAAACATGCAACAAACAAAAGGCAGACAATACAGGGGAGTTCAAGTTTAAGTGCTGCCTAGTATATTTGGAGGAAGGACAGATCATTGTAAACCAGCATGACTGCTTCATGGCAGAGATAAAATGTGAGCTGGCTCAGTTTCTGAGAATAGCCAAGGTTAGTCTATGTGGGAGAAAATGGGGAAAGCTATTCCATGTGGGAGGAACAGCACAAGCAAATGCCCAGTGGAGGGACTTCGTGTGACTTGACTGAGGGATGGACAGTAAAGTGGGTCAGACTGGCTTTGAGAAAAAGTAGGTTACAAGCTAGACTGTAGGGATCTGGGAATGCCAGGCTAAATATCAATAGTTTAACTTGGTCTGCAGGAAATAAGACCAAAGTTTGGTCTTCAAACTTTTTGGAGTAGAAGAGTCAGACATCAAGTGGTATAAAGATATATGCAGTGGTAGCAGGCAGGATTGTCTTAAGGATGAAGCTGCATGAGGAGATGGTCATGGTTGCTGGAAAGAAAAGAATGGAGAGATGTGGGTGCAAGAGCTCCTACAGAGGAACAAGGAACTGAATTTGGGGTTGGAATATTGTAAAACTTTCCAGGCATATTAGAGGAATTTTTTTAACATAATCCCTTTTCCTCTTAGAGGCAATTTAACAACTGGAGAATCAGATCATTGCCGTTTCATTTTGAAAGGGTGGTTTCCCCAGTGTGAGGGGATTGAAAATGGTCTTTCCATACAGACAAAGTAGCAGAAAGTAGAACTTACCAAATTTTACTGCCATAAGATTCCATTGTAGTCTTTTAAAAAGGTAACTTACAGGGATATTGTCGATGCTTTGAGAGCCAGTCTGTCAACTTGTGGCTCACCGGGACCATTAGCTTTTTCCTTGTGCTTCTCTTCTGCACTTGCTTTCTCACCCTTTACTGTTCATTAGCATCATTACCAGAACGTGGATAAGAACATCATCTACAGTATAACATTTCAGAGCGGCGGTGGATATCAGACATTAACCAGATTTCTCACTTTACCTTTAAGGAAATGGAAGCTCAAAATGTTACGTGACTTGCATCAGGTCATCTGGAGAGAGGCATGGGCAAATCTGAAGCTGGATTCAAGGCCTTCAGTTTCTCGGAGCAGTGTCTTTCCAATTCATCACTCTGCCTCAGGTATTTTTCAGCTGACCAGCAGTTGTAAAAGTTGTGATGTAGTGAATGAATGAACCTTTAGCGAATAAGAGTTACAGGAATGAGCTACGGATGTTAAAAGCCCCTGAGTCGATCTTATTATCAGGAAAAGAGGTTTGACTGTACTGAGCCTGAGGCACTGATCAGGTAATAATTTTAGAAGGGTGAGAGATATGGAGAATTACATGGCACAGGGCTCAGAGGAGCTGTGCAAGCCTCAGAGGAGGAATGGGGACTCAAGAACATGGCAGTGCTTACCCCAAGGATAGAGGGAATTCTCAGGGACCCTTTGGACCTCTTAGACCTCTGTGATAAGAAGCTGGTGGGCTTTTTGGTAGCAATTCTTAATGAAAATCCTTTTTGAGTTGCCATTCTTGTTGAGTAATTGACTATTCTTGAGTCGCTGTTTCATTAAAATGATGCTGCGTTACATTGACTCTCAACCCTGATGGCACTGGGGACTTTAACCTCTTTAAAAGTGGACTCAGACATTGGTATTTTTCACCCGGAGATTTCACTATACAGCCATGGTTGAGAACTACTGCTCTACCGGAAACATTTCTTCCCCCCTCCCTCCCCCCTCTCTCTCCCCCCACCCCTTCCTTCCCCTACAGAATCATAGGCCCCACATTTGGAACGCACTCAGGCTTTAACAGAACATCATCAGAACCTATTTACATCCTTAGTTTTTACAGAACTTTTCAGGAGAGAACTGGACATTTTCTCTGTAGCCGTTTCGACATGATTGGGGGATTTATGAAGTTTTATCACACAGATGTATCAGTTGTTCCAAGTTCAAATACAGATCAAAGAATTCTTCTACAGTGAAATTGTTTTTTTTGCCACAACTCTCTCTCTTCACCAGCTCTTCCCTTGGATGTCAGACGATGCTGCCAGCAGTGTACTGGTGGCTGATGCCACTGTCAGAAGCCAAGGGGAGAGGCTGGAGGGAGAGGAAGAGAGGCAGCCTGGGGGTCCCAGTGGGTCCTGTGATAAGAAGGTGCCTGGGTGAAGAGAGCATCACTTAAGACCGACAAGGCAGGAGAGAGCATCTCCACCAAATCA